TGGGGGGAGGGACTGGGGCGGGGGGCAATGCAAAATTGTATTTGGAAACTAGGAAAAATTAAGAAACCAAATAAATTGGTTTTGCTTCCTTGCCATGGATTCTGGAAGGACGTAGTTCTTCTAAAATTTCCTGTTAATTGGCATGTACGTCTCATTTAAAGCAAATTAAGTAGGACAAGCAAGTCAGTAAAATAGAAGTATTAAAAAGAATCATCCTTTAAATCACAGATCTTATTTTGAGATTAAAAAAATACTTCTAGCTTTAGCCAGGTGTGCATGTTGCTGCCATTTTGCATTTTTGAATCATCTTGTGTAACTGTCACCATGAAAGTGTTACTCAGAATTGTCATAGATTTTCTCATCTTTGTGCAAAAACATGGAAAATTGTCACTGACTTTGTGTTGAGGTTTCCCCCATTTTGCTGCCTTTTGGGACACTTCGTTAAATACTGGTCTTGGCTGCATTCTTTTTTTTTTTTTTTTTTTTTTTTTCCTGTGGGGTTCAAAAGAATAAACATTTTCTTACAGATAAAACTAGTTTTCTGCCTTTTTAACTTTCAGGAGAGCACAGCAAGGTAGATTGCTCTGAGTGGGGCTTAGTGGGTTGCTATCTTCTCATCTCGGCCTGCGTCAGGTGGGGGCCCCCCACACACAGCCGATCCCTGGGTGGGGGGCAGACACAGGATTTGGGGGTGACCCATCAGGATCTCAAGTTGGTTTGGTTTCTGTGCTTAAGACTGTCCTTTCTCATTTGTTCTCTCCCTTCTCTGGCATCTGATTAGAACCAAGGCTGACTTGTTTTCTGGTACAGCCCTCGTTTCCTAAGAAAGCAAATTAGGGGTGGAGTTGGGGGGTAGTTGGTGAGAAAATCTTGAGAGCAAATTTCCTTCACCAATGCCTTGCCCTCTATTTTCTAGAGTCTTATTTGGCCACTTAGTGACCAATACTCTATTGGGTTTCCTATCTGCTATAGATCCTGAACTAACTTCCACTTTTATCATCCTCCCTTGTTTTTAGAGGCTTTGTCTGTTTTCATCTTCTGAGAAGCCAACTGCCTCTCTTGGCCATTGTTACAATTGATCTTGGCTCCAGTTTTGGAAAATTTTGCTCTTGGCACCTCACCCTCTGTCCTTATTTCTAGATAGCCTTTCTGAGTCTTGGCCATCAGGGCTGTTGCAGACACTCCACACTTAATATCATGAGCAGAATTCCCCAGGGGGAACACGTTGGCTTGCCTTGGCTTTTGCCTTTGCCTTCCCTGAAGGAATGTGTCTGCCTACATAACTCTCATTGGCACGTTCTTTTCTACCAACAAAATCTCCAGTAGTTGTCTTTATTTTAGGCCCATCATAAAGCAGCAATTAGCTATGAAAATCAAAAGGCTGTAATCGTGATGAACTAATGGGGACAGACTAGGAGAGAGAGAGAGAAAACTCAGATCTTCAAGTTTCATTGCTAATTTTTCTTTTTTTTTTTTTTGAGATGGAGTCTCACACCATCATAGAGCAGCTCCACATCTCAGTACATAATTTATTACATGCTATAAAGCAGTGTTTGCCATTCTAGATGGTTAAATATTTAGAGGAAGAATGGGCTGAGTGTGTTTTGACTGGCCGAATAACCTCTCTCTATTGACATCTCCCAACTTTACATAAGGAAACAGCTGTCTACGTTCATTCTCCCTGTGGCAATCTCCAAGAGATCCTGTGGAATGAGAATGAACAACTCCTCATGACTCCCAGCCTGCAGGAAGGGCATAATCCTTTTTCCTGCCATCCCTCTCCCCTGCCTGTGTTAATCCGGTCCATGAAGAGCCACCTGGGAGGGCTGAACATTTCTAACAGCTGCCCTCACTGCTGCTTTTGAAATTCACACCACAGCAGAGGGAACTAAAGAGGTAAACCAGAAGCCTACCCCAAAGCCACTGGCCAGAGTAGCTAGGCCTGTTTAGATTAAAGGGCCTCTGAGCCCCATAAATGCCTGGTTATATATGACTCTCAAAGATGCTTACTGCTGAGCTGGCCTCTTCCCAGGCCTCACAGGACCTGCCCAAAGGCATCCCCCTCGTCCTTCATGCAGAGCCCTAGGGCCCAGCCAAGCCCTCCAGACAGGGATGGAAGTCATCTCCCAGCTTTGCCTCCACAGGCTCTGTGACTGCCCTTAACTTCTCTAGGATGCCGTTTCCTCACCTGACAGAGTTGCTATGGAGATTGGGTGACATGATGCAAAAGGGTACCCTGAAAACCATCCAGGGTGCTCCCAGGTGGAAGCGCAGACCTGCCGCAAGGAATCATGAGGAGGCCAGGACCTGGCGAAGAATTCCTGCTTGTGGGGCTCCTCCATCCTTAACAGCCTGACTCCTAAACTCGTGACACTCAAAAACGTGGTGTGCAACTGCAGCCCAGCAGCACTGGTGGCCTGTGTGAGCTTGCGTTTGGCTCTTGCCCAGACCCATCTGAATCTGCATTTTACAAGATGTCAATGATCATTCAGTTGCATATTGTTTTAGAAACCCCATCCTGAGCTGACTTTCCTAACACGAAGACTCTAAACATTGTCACCCCCTCTCTTCTGGTCCAAAAAAAAGCTGATTCACAAGCTTTGAAAATTTAGAATTAAAAATTTGGGCCAGGCTCGGTGGCTCACGCCTGTAATCCCAGCACTTTGGGAGGCCAAGGTGGGCAGATCACAAGGTCAGGAGTTCGAGACCAGCCTGGCCAATATGGTGAAACCCTGTCTCCACTAAAAATATAAAAATTAGCTGGGCATGGTGGTGGGTGCCTGTAATCCCAGCTACTCAGGAGGCTAAGGCAGGAGAATCGCTTGAAATCAGAAGGCGGAGAGGTTGCAGTGAGCCAAGATCGCGCCACTGCACTCCAGCCTGGGCAACAAGAGCAAGACTCTGTCTCAAAAAAAAAAAGAAAGAATTTAATGATGAGGGGCCATGCAGGAGATGAACTCTAAGCCTTACCCCTTTTTACTTATTTTATTAAGTTTCCCCACCATTAGAATGTAAGCTCTATGAGGGCAAAGATTTTTATCTACTGCTGTAACCCAGGACCTAGAACAATGACTGCCACATAGTAGTTATTCAATAAATACTTATTGAGTGATAAGGTTTTAGATTAGACATGTAATCTGAAATACTATGTCTTGATTGAATCAAAGCATCTCTGTAATAGTATTATTAGAATGATGAGCATAAACAGAATTGTTTCTAGAAGGAGAGGGATACATTTGAAGTAACATATTTACTATGACATCTCCCATCTGCCTGTCTCAAACCTTGCTTTTTCGTCAGATTTTCTCTACAAACTCCTGCTTGATTTAGCCAGGTGCAACAAGATTTCCTTACCAGCTAGATGTGCTGCAAACAATCACTTCTCTTGGAAGCCTCGCAGCAGGGACCTGCTGGGGGCCTGTCCATGCTTCACCCCTCTGGAGCCTTAGACTGACTTTCCCAGGAGCCAGTACTGCTGCGTTGTGAGTCAGTGTGGGGGTTTTTCATGTCGACAGCCACTGAATTATAAAGCATTTCCTCCTGGAAGGCATCTGGGTGATTGAATGTCTCAGAATTCCTTTCCATCCGACCAAGGGTGCCACACTTCTTTTCTCTCCTCCCTCCTTGGGCGTATTTTAGGTGTTTCTGTTTGTTCTATCTCAACGTTTGCTTTTAGTTCCTGTCTTTTCCTGAGGTTCAAGTCTTATTCCCCTCAGGATGGGCTCTCTAGGGTTCTGAAACCACTGTGCTGTGATACCTTGAATTTTCTCCTAAGAATCCCAGACTAGCCGGGCGCGGTGGCTCAAGCCTGTAATCCCAGCACTTTGGGAGGCCGAGACGGGCGGATCACGAGGTCAGGAGATCGAGACCATCCTGGCTAACAAGGTGAAACCCCATCTCTACTAAAAAATACAAAAAATAACTAGCCGGGCGAGGTGGCAGGCGCCTGTAGTCCCAGCTACTCGGGAGGCTGAGGCAGGAGAATGGCGTAAACCCGGGAGGCGGAGCTTGCAGTGAGCTGAGATCTGGCCACTGCATCCCAGCCTGGGCCACTGCATCCCAGCCTGGGCGACAGAGCGAGACTCCCTCTCAAAAAAAAAAAAAAAAAAGAATCCCAGACTTAGCTTCACACACGTGACAGGGCCTTTTAAACCCCATTCGAAGGAGCCTCGACCGGTTGCTCTGAGAGAGGTCCATTCTGCCGGCTTCCGAGCTCTGCAGCCTTTGGGTTGAGAGAGAGGTGCAGGTGAGTGCGGGCAGGGACCTCCATGAGCCATGCTTGGCCTGGCACCAGCATGTCCTACATCCTGTTCTTTGCCATTCCCTTCCCTGTCCTCTGCATGGAGGACAGGGTTTTGCTTCTGGAGCCCTAGGCCATGTTGGCACATTTCTCCAGTACTAGGCCCATACTTCCTCAGAACAATCATTCTCAAACTTGTTCACCAGAACAGCCTGAAGTCACCTGCGGAAACAGATTACTGGGTCCGACACCAGATTTTCTCATTCACGAGGTCTGGGGGAGGGCCTGAAAAACTGCATTTCTAACACGTTCCCAAGTGAGGCTGGTCCCACCTTGGGAACCCCTGGGTTGAGCTTGAGGGCTGAGAGCCCTGCCCGAAGCCCCGCCCCAGCTGCCACCAGAGGGCACATGCAGCCTGAGCCAGAGGTCTTGTGTCACCTCCAGCTGCCAGCT